ATTCAGATTTAGAAGCCTCGGATGGGCTGCTCGAGTCTTTCCTAACAACTGCCCACCCTTTTTCGCTCGCTGCTTTGTTTCCAAGGACTGAATGGGTTGTTTGAGTCCTTCTGAACAACAGTCTATCCTAGGTGTGCTGTGCTTTTCAAAGGGAAAAGATACCAGCATTGTGCAGAAACATTTGGTGCAAATTGCAGAGACTTCGAGGGCCAAGGGAAAAAACTTCTCCTTTGGCTCTCGTATTTCAGGCAAAGAATCTCACGGGGCTTGAAAAATCCTTGTTGATGCATCCCAGTGTGCCAAGATGGCCCAGATAAATAAAAAGTAAGGAATTTAGCAAGCATTTGATCTTCTAGAAGTCATAGACTACGTAAACCCTATTCAGTTGTTTAAAATGTGGAAAAGGTCTCGCGCATAGAGACGAATGGTCTAACTCCACCAGATCTTTCCACATTCCTGTTATCTTCCTGTATATGGAGACAGATGTCTATGAAAAAAAACACCCTCCACTATTTCTGAGGGTTCTGGATGTGAATCAGAATCAGTGTCTGCTGGTGAGGAACCTGATTTCTCGAGCTGATTTGCAGACGTGATTACACTCTATTTACTTTAACCATCCGATCAAGGTCATTCTGAGATTTTCCTGGTTCTTCCCACCACCACACGACTCTGCAGCGCTCAGCCTGACGAAGAGTCTTGCAAAGCCCAAAAACATTCAACATTTTTGTGGTCAAGTAAAGATGTCTCTCGCCCTTAATTCTGGATTTTGCACAAGGACTAGAGTTTTGATTTTTTTTTTTTAAAAAAAGCATATATCATTACTTACTTACTCCATTAATTAAGGGCTGCCAAGTAAACTCTGACTTATGGCAATTGGTACCAGGGCTTCCTAGACATTCCTTTTCTTTCCCCCCACCTTTCTTTTTCTTTTCCAGTTCTCCCCAGATCTTCTGAAGGAGGCGGTAATACAGCCTTTAGCCCTGCTTCGCCCTTAAACACACGGACCACAAGATGTCTCTTAGCTATAAAGCACTCAGAAGCGGTATGACATTCGGGGTGTGCTCTGTGACTATACAGCTTGCCCAAGGCTACACAGGCTGGTTTTTCTCCCGAAAGGAACCGTGGGCAGTCAGATTCCTGACCCTGGTGCTCCATCGCCAGCCAGCTCTAGAAAAACACCATCACTGTCATTCATTGCCTAATTTCGGATGCCAGGATTCGTTTCGCTGCATCCTCATTCCCCCCCCCCAAAAAAAGTAACACATTTCTTCGGAAATGTATTTTGTTTTCTTTGGAAATGAGGGAATAGCTATTTTAACTCTTTTTCACCCCCAGTTTGGACTCCACATGCCTGATTTAAAAAACAAGAGAAGAGGAAATAGTATTTGCTCGAAGGTGGGTGCTGGGGGGGGCGGGGAAGGCCATGAATGATTCTGGCGGAGGTGGTCAGTTCAAGTTCAACACTTCCTACCTCGCCGTGGCCTTCCAGAAAGTCCCTTTACTGACACTGGTGTTTTGCAGAAAGTGGAAATCCCCAATGTTTAAGTATCATATTGATGCTGTTGCGCCACTCCTGGGGCCTGTAGGGGACATCATCATCATCACTGCCTTCTCTCCTCACCCTCCCCAGCCGAAGCATGAGCATTAAGTTACACTCAGATAGCGCTGCTGTCTCCTACTCCCTCCCAAATACCTCCCGGGCATGACCGTCCTCTCCTGACCCTTGCTCTCTCGCCTACTCTTTTTGCTTTCCCCAGGCTGCAATCCAACTGGTTCGGTGGTTGAGACCCGTGATAAATTATGAAATGCAGGCACGCACGGTGGACAGCCACCTCTCCAAGGAGAGTGGCCAGAAAAAGGGCAGGGGGGTGGGTGGGTTGATCCTTTCCAGCAAAATCCCCTCTTGCTGTTTTTGGCCACCACCCCTGGCAGGTCTTTTGCCAAGCTAATGGGTCATAATTGCCCAGCCAGGGACCCAAGCACGGAGGGGGGGTGCTTTCTTGCGGTGGCACCCTGATTATGGAGCGCCCTCCCTCCCTTAGAGAACCAGGAATCTTGCTTAACAACACCTTTTTTAAAACCTAGTTTGCTAACTGCCGTGAACTACTAAGGAGGAAAAATGGGGTGCAAATTAAATTGATGGCGAGGATGATCGTTTGTACAGCTGTTGCAGGAAAACAGCAAGCCAGAGGCCATAATTTGCAGACCCTGCTGTTCATTCTTGAAGAAAAAAGGATGGATCAAGGGGAGATTAGGCTGAAACAACCAAGAAAAGACATTTATTTTTTCTCCGGTCGACTTAAGGTGTGATCACCTGGGGAAACAGGTGGCATTTTGGCCCAACCTCGCTGTGTACAAGCTGGACTTTTTTTTTTTGGTCCAACTGTAGGGATGCTACTTCTTGGAGGTGATTCCCTGGCAGACTGAGGGGTCATAGTAAAAGAGAGAGCACTCCCATTAAAACAACCCTTTCTCGTGAGATCAGCTGTGGGCTTTTCCAGCCCCTTTATTACTTTTGCTGTCAGGCAGCTGTTCACCTGGAAAATGGAAACCTTCACAATCTACCCTGGAGGGTTGTTGTTGGAAGGATGGAAAAAAAATTAAGACTTAGAAACCTTCCTTTCCTGTTGCAATTTAAAAGGAACATTCCCATTGGGAGAGATGAAGTTATTTTTATAAGGGAGGCTTTTTTAAACAACCCTTTTCTCTGTTGAGTACACTCTGCCACCTAGTGCTGAATGATTGATTGATTTAATTAATTTATTCCACTTCCCTAACTTTTTTGCTGGGAATGACCAGATTTCTTGCTGAAAGTTACCGCCAATGTTTATTTGATGTTAAGATGGAGAAGATTTCGAAAGAGGATAAAAATCTTTGGCAGGACGAAGTGCTATGGAAGCTTTACATTTGAAGCTTCTGGTCTTGAGCCTTTAAAACTTCCTATGTATTTTTTTTCTCCTGATGGGCGTTCATGATTTGTTTGTGTGGTTTTCACTTTGCCATTTCCCCCCCCCCAAAGTTTTGGGAGCAACCCCCCAGGAGGGTAACGTTTCTTACGCCCCATCAGATGTGCCTCTGAGGGTGATGGAACTGAAGGGATATGATCAAAAGTCTCTGAACACAATGGAAGCTAAATTAAAGCAGGGGGGAGAAGGAAGATGGGAAAGAGATTTTTAAAAAATGGTAAAATAGCATTTCAGTATGAATACTAGCAGCAACATGAGCTTTCATGGATCAAAATCCACTTCTTCAGGTGCAAGAAGTGCAAATACTGGTCCTTTATACATATCCTTATGGTGGTAATGGCTGGCTGGATAGCTGAGTGGTTTATTTTATTTTATTTTTACCCCATCCAATTAGTGCCAAAGCCACCACTCCGGGCAGCTAACAAAGCAGGATCAACATAACATAATATAATAATAATAGAAGCAACCATAAAGATTCAGATAAGGTATTGTATAAGGCACGATCCCTAAAATAACAATAACTTTAAGGACGATTAATTATAGGAATAATGGGGGACAGGTGGCAGAGAGAGGTCCACAAATAGAAAGGCTTGCAAAAACAGCCAAGTCTTAATTTATTTCCTAAAACCAGGTACTGTATGTCACTGGTTCTTAACCTTGGGTTACTCAGGAGTTTTGGACTGCAACTCCCAGAAGCCTTCACCACCAGCTGTCCTGACTGGGGTTTCTGGGAGTTGTAGTTCAAAAGCATTCGAGTAACAAAGGTGAAGAACCACTGCTGTATGTGAATTTGAGAGTTCGATTCCCCCACGGGGCCCCCTGGGAGAAGAGCCAGCCTGGGTGGCCTTGGGCCAGCTGCACCGTCCCAAGGTTGCCCCCTAGAGGAAGGGAAGGGGAAACCACTTTGTTGTGTTCTCTACAGCAGTGGTCCCCAACCTTGGGCCTCCAGATGTTCTTGGACTTCAACTCCCAGAAATCCTGGCCAGCAGTGGTGGTGGACGAGGCTTCTGGGAGTTGTAGTTCAAGAACATCTGGAGGCCCAAGGTTGGGGATCACTGCTCTACGGCTATTCCATAATCTTCCCAGGGAATTCTGGAATTTGACATCCAAAGATGCTATGCTTCCAGCTACACCAAAAGGGATACCCCACCTCTGAAAATAGATGGAACCCGGGGAAATTCTAGCCCCCTCCCCGTTCACAGGGGAGAAATGCGTTACTTGTAAGCCACTTAATAGGCTAGGAAGTGGAGTTGGCAGAACCAAGGTGAACTTATGAAAATGCTGAGTTTTGCAGGGACCCAGTCCCTGGGAAGCCCAGAGAAGACCCACCGAAGTTCACACCAATGTCTCTCGAGATGCACCTTGGAAGCTCTGCGTCCAGCGCTCTTGATGTCGCCCGTGCTTGGGCGAACTGCCGGATAGAGATCAGTGGTTTAATGCAGTGGCAGTGGTTCTTAACCTTTGTTACTCGGATGTTTTTGAACTGCAACTCCCAGAAACACCAGTCAGCAAAACAAGGCTTCTGGGAGTTGCAGTCCAAAACTCCTGAGTAACCCAAGGTTAAGAATCAGTGGTTTAACGCAGTGGTCCCCAACTTTGGGCCTCTGGATGTTCTTGGACTTCAACTCGCAGAAGCCTTCACCACCATCTCTGCTAGCCAGGAGTTCTGGGAGTTGAAGTCCAAGAACATCTGGAGGCCCAAGGTTGGGGACCACTGGTTTAACGCATCTTCCAAAGGTTGGGGGTTCGATTCCCAGCTGCGCCTCTTTGACGGGGGCTGGACTCGATGACCCGGAGGGTCCTCATTTCTGAGATGCAGAAAACTACCCGATCTGTAACCGTGTGGCGGGGGGGGAGAGGCTTCGAGAGGGACAAAGCAAAGCACGGCGGGATCCCCCCCCTTTGCAAACAGACGGTCCCCCCCCGGTCCCTTTAAGAGTCGAAAGGAATGTATGAAAACAAAACAGACAGGAGGCCATTGGCTGGCTGGGGGGCACGTGAGCCCACAGCTGATTTCCTGGCTTTTTATGTGTGTGTGTGTGTTTGTGTGTGTCTTGTTCTCCAGCCGCGGTGTGTCAGTTTCGGTGGCCGGAGTGGGATGCTGCGCCGGGGCCGCCGCCGGTGGGCTCTCCGGGGACTTACCTGAGCAGGTGGAGGAGGAGACGCAGCCAGCCAGGATCGATCCCCAGCCTCTCCCCCCTAAAAAAAAAAAAATCTGAATTAATCTTTGATTGGGGAGATCAAAGCCCCCCACCCCACCCTTTGGTTATTATTATTATTATTATTGATTGGCCACGGATCGAGCGCTTGAGGAGGGGCATCCTCGGGAGGAGAGCCGCCTGCCCCCTCCCTCCGCGACCCCCCCCCAGCCATGGCCCAAGCGGGGGCTCAGCTCAACCTCCTGGAGCCCACTTGCCCCATCCAGGTGGAGCACGACCGGAAAAGGAGGCAGTTCACCGTCAGGCTGAATGGTAATGAGAGGGTGTTTTTTTGGGGGGGGGTGAGTTTTTTTGGGGGGGAAGCCCAGGAGAGTGGGGGGGGAAGAGAAGAAAAATTGTGGCTTGGAGGAATGCGCATGCGTGGGTTTTTTTTGGGGGGGGGCTCGCTCCTTTTGCTGCCTTGCCAAAAGAGCCGCACTTTTGGCAGCTCTGGATGTCCCCCCCCCCACAATCATCTGTGCAAGAATCCAGACCCCCCCTCCGATCTCTCTCCCTGCATCTCCGGCGTGGGTTTTGTTTGCAACTGGGGGGGGGGGGGAAAGAGGGGGCTTCTGAACTATTTGCACTAAATTGGGGGGGATCCTTGCATGGTGAGATCCCTCTCCTCTCCTTCTTCCAATATCTGCCTCTTCTTCCTCCCCCCCCTCCTTCTTCTGCAGCAACTGTGGTTATGCAACAGATTATAGCTCTGGTGTCAGCCCCTTAGCAGTTGGAGGGTGAGGAGATGATGGGAAGAGAAGGTGTCAGCAAGAATTTTTAAATTCTAGACCCCCTTCTCTTCCCCCCCCCCCGCCCCCCCCCCCGCCCCTTCTCTTTGGGACCCCAGCCGTCCCTGGCACGTGCCCACCCTCTCCAAAGATGTGGCTGCTGTGTTGGTTACTCTCCGGTCGGTCAGTTGGTGAACACCTGTCGTGGCTGGAGCTATTTTTAAATAAGCTCCCAAAGTTGACACGAAAACCCACCAACACTGTTGTCTTCCTCTGGTTCCTTTTGCGCAAACCTGCCAAAACTGGGTGGCCGCCTCCTTTAAGCTCCTGAATTGAATAATGATGTAAAAACCTGATTCTATTTTTTTTAAAAAAAATCTGATTTCTTTCTTATTTCTCTTTTAGGGCCACAGAGAGGTTTTTTGTTTTTTTTAAGTTAATTCCAGGGCTTAACAGAATGCTGTTTGTGGCCTACACCCATTGAGCTGTGTTTATTTGAAAGTCAAATTGTCCCGACGTTTAAAGAGCCGTGCTTTTGAGTAAGTGGGCAGAAAGAACGCTAGTGGAAGCAGCATGACATGTAGTCATAAATGGAGTGTTGTTCCCTTCTAGGCCAGTTTTGACCAGATCTGAAGACCTCTGGGGTTATCAGAAAGGCTGCGTATTCACTGCTTCTGGAGGAGAAGCTAAACAGACAAAAGGGTTTTGCAAGGAATCTTCGCCATCTGTAGCTAGTCAAAGGTAGACTGTATATGGAAAATGAACCAGTAATCCTGCATAGCAATTTATTTATTTATTACATTTATACCCCGCCCCTCTAGACCATGTCTACTCGGGGCGGCTTACAACATAAAAATCAATATAAAATGTATATAATCATTAAAAATACAATTACTATATTAATTAAGACAATTATTTTAAGAAAAAAAATTTGCCAAGATGGGGTAGGATAAGGAAAGAAGAAATAAAAAAGACTTAGCTGACTGGAGGGAAGGCCTGCCTAAATAGCTAAGTTCTTAATTGTCTTTTAAAAACCCCCAGCGAGGGTGCCAGCCGAATTTCTGTTGGGAGGGCGTTCCACAGGCGAGGGGCCACCGCCGAGAAGGCCCGGTTTCTAGTTTTTTCCTTCCGAGCCTCTCTCGGCATCAGACCCCTCAGCCGTCCCTGCTGGCTATGGCGGGGGATTTGGGTAGATCTGGGTGGGAGAAGACGATCTGCCAAATATTGAGGTCCCAAACCGTTTAGGGCTTTATAAGTGATCATTAGCACTTTGAAGTCGACACGGAAACGGATGGGCAACCAGTGCAAAGCAGCCAGGGTGGGGGAGATGTGTTGGTGTTTTCTCACCCCTGAGTAAATCCGCGTTCCTATGTCCGAGGTTCTCAACTATGAAAAAAAGAAATAAGTTAACAAACTTACATTGGATTTTACTTCTGCTGGCTGATTCAAATTTTCCCCATCTAGCTAATCACAGTGAGGGTTGGGCAGCAATGACTTAATGGCCTTGGCCAGTGAGGTTAGACGCCCCAGTCTGAGCCTCCCCAGATATGGTTGGATTATAATGTCCATCATCCCCAGCCAGCAGGCTCAAGACGATGGGTATAGAACTGCAGAATGGGCCCTTGAGTGCTTGCTTGGCTTCGGAGCCTTTTCTCAGTCAAAGAGTGGCCGGTCTCACAAGAATCCATTTCCACACAAACGTCACCCCCTGTTCCTAAAGTTTTCTCAAATTTAGACTTGACCGAGGGTCTTTACAGCATCCTAAAGAGCGCTAGGCTTTTATCTAGCATAAATTTTTAGTGGATTTCTTCAGAGGTGGAGACTGGCACTTCAAACCAACATTTATACCCACTGGGGTGGGAATCAGAAGAGAGAGAGAGACACAGAAAGGATGAAAGCCAGTGGAGGGTCTTATCCGGCAACCCTTCAGGACTGTTGAAAAGTCCAACAGAGATCTTAACAGTGGTTTCTTAAGAATCGTTCAGAAGTTGTTGGTGGGTTACAAGCAGAACAAAACAGAGACTCTTCCGAGTATGGTGGAGGGAAAAAAAAGGTCTTCATGGCCACTCTTAAGATCATCATCAGTATTCTGATAATCTTTTGGATGGGGTATCAATGAAAAAAAAACCAAGAATACCACGCTTGCTTGGGCTCACGCGTGTCGAGGCCACGGGTCAGACGATTTAGGTTTAGGACAGTGGTTCCCAACCTTGGGTAACCCAAATGTTCTTGGACTACAACTCCCAGAAATCCTGGCCAGCACAGCTACTGGCGAATGCTTCCGGACGTTTTCAGTCCAAAAAACACCTGGATGACCCAGGGTTAGGAACCACAGCTTTAGGAATAACCAGAAAAGAACTGTGGATCTCTTTGGGTTCCTCTTTTGGAGGAAAGGCAGGGTGGAAATAAAGTATGTACATAAATAAATAAACTTGGTAGAGGAATGCAAATGCAGGAGCAGATGATATCTTTCTTAGACCACTAAAAAAAAAAATCAAGCAAACAACAGACAGCAAGCTTTCAATGATAAGTCATCTTCCTCAGGCTAAACAAGTACCGAGTTCTTGTTCAGAAAATGGTGTACTGTACTTTTATTAGAGTCCCAAAGTTTCATGGCCGTTGTCAGGGCCAGGTTAGCTTTTTGAGATGTTGAAGCCACATCCTGCAAGCTTTTTGCAGACTGCATTGGTATCCATCTCGGGAAGCTAACCTGGCTCCCGCAACAGGTTAGCTTTGGGATTCTAATAAAAACCCTATAAATCTCTGAACTAGCCACAAGAACTTGCTGTACAGCCTGAGGAAGATGAATGTCTCTTGAAAGCTTGCTGTGTGTTCGGTTAATTTTTTTTAGTGCTGTATCAACAGATGTGCACGGCAGTCTGTCTCTGGTAATGGAGGTGATCTATAAGCATCTTGCTTAGTAGCCATTGGTGATTCTAGTCTCTATGAATGTATTGTTTTTATGTGCCCATTTATGGCTATCCTAATAGGGTTTTCCAGGTATATGAGAAGGCAGTCTGTCTCTGGTAATGGAGGTAATCTATAAGCATCCTGCATAGTAGCCACTGGTGATTCTAGCCTCTGTGAATTTATTGTTTTTATGTGCCCATTTATGGCAATCCTAATAGGGTTTTCCAGGTATATTAGATGTTCAAGAACAGGTTTTACCATTTAACACCCTATCTCGTTTCAAGGAAGTCAAAAGTCAGGATTCCCTGTTCAAGGACAGGTTTTACCATTTAACATCCTATCTCATGAGGTTTCAAGGAAGTCAAAAGTCAGGATTCCCAAATCCTAACCTGACACACACTCCCCTGAACCATACTGACTCTCATCCATCAAAATGTACTTCATTGGCACAGATTTATTCCTTTCAAAGCTGCCCCCGTTGACAACCAGCTGTTACTCCAACTGGTGGCATTGAATTGTGGTCTGGGCTTAAAAGGGCCAAGTCAACCTTACAAATCAATTAACCGAAGCTGTTAACATGCCTGATCAGAGCTGGATTTGAGTGTTCCAGGGATAATCTGGAAAGGAAAAGAAAACTCAACTTCCCTCTGGTTCATAAATACAGTACTTCCTACACTGGTCGCCTGTAGGAGATTGTTCCTCACCATAGGCAATCAAGTACATAGCGAATTAACATGAGCTTGGGCAAATATGTAAGTTGCATGGCTGACTTTTTTACTCTGCAAAAATCTGTGTCGTACATTTACAACACACCAATGTTCCTCTCCCTTTGCTAACATCTGTTTTTATTTTTAAGCAAAGAGCCACAGTTTTGGGGGTTAGTTTTTTTTTTTAAAAAAAAGACAAAGTGCCGGGTCTCACTGAAATTGCAGGGTATGTTAAAATGGATAAACAATTCAAAAATTATATACCAGACTGCCTGGTATGAGACATTGTTCATAAACTGCTAAGAATAGGAACACTGATTTTAATTTTTTGGGTTTTCTTCCCTCCCTCCCCCCCCTTCCTCTTTTTAAACCTCTTCCCTTTCCACCCCAAGTACGATGTACTCTTTTTCAGGCTGAACAATGGGTAAAAGTAAACAGCAAATGAATCTTGCATTACGCTGGAGAAAAGACATTCAAACCAAACAGACTCTTTAAATAGCACAAGGTTAAAATTGTTTCATAGTGGTGGATTCCCATAGGAAATCTGCTGAGCCGTAAATCAGTTTTAACACACACACACACACCAGGAGGGGAAAAATGATTCAAAGTAAACAGTATTGTAATAAGGGGGTTTGTTTCTCTCTGGTTCTGAAAGGAGATTGTGAAAGAGTGTGGGAAAAGTAAGAGATATTTAAAGAAGAATGGAGAAAAACTGGAGATAGAACAGATGTTAACATTCACTTAAATAAAACAAGACATGGAAGGAACACTACAAGAATGATGTGTATCTGCTTTCAGTAGTTTTTTTCCTCCCATCAAGCATCTGGTTCAGCTGTGGAACTCAGGGCCACATGATAACGAAAAGCTTAGCTGTATGCAGAAGAGGAGTGCATGCAGTTACCATGGGCTATAACAGGCACATTTTTTT